TATACATGGTCGTTTTTTTTGGATAAAAACGCCTTTCAATACATGTTCGTTTTTTCATGCTTAAAACGCCTTACTATACATGGTCTTTTTTTTCGGCTAAAAACGCCTTACTGTACATGGTTGTTAAAAAAAAGCCTTACTATGGACTTGGTCATTAAAAAATTAATTAAAAACCTTACTTTATACCTGGTCATTAAAACAATGCCTTGTTATACATGATCATTGAAATAAATAAATAAACCAATATATTAAACACCTTACTATTTTTAGTACCTGGCTGTAAAAAAATGGCTTACTATACATGGTCATAAAAACAGACTGTATTTGATGGATAATTGTAAAATCACACCACGCGAGTGGTGAATATTTAACTACGGCTACCCACACAGAGTGTGCCCCTGCACGCTAAAATAACACCGCTAATTTTTATCTTTAGTCCACACATGACCGGCATGTGACAGACATTCAGCTAACCGGTGCTAACCACATGGATTGAGCTCCCTCGGGCCACACAAAGCTGACACACTAATTCTTATTATTTTTGTCACATCTCAAACACTACAATATGCATTTACGATCATGAATATTTGAGCCTGAAAGATTTGGATTGTTTTTTAAAATGATGCCAATATTTGGCAGAGTAAAATTATGGTAACCAATTGGCCGATTGATTACAATACTATATCATGGTCCCTTAACGCCAACAACAATAACGATCTGAATTATGATTAATTTGGTTCTGGTTCTCATTAGCATGACTGCATTTAATATTTGTGCGTGCGACTCACATGAATCCTGCCGCAAAGGTGTCAGAGAGGCCCACAGCGCCACCTCCGTACGCTGAGCTGGTCTCTCCCAACCACACTGGCTTGCCCGGAGACACGCGCCTGACTTCCTGTGCACACACAAAAGATGCCCGTCAAGACGTGTTGGCACAAGCAACGCGCGCGCACATGCACGGCATGTAGCAACTCACCTCGATGACTCGTTTGGTCTTCGCCACCAGTGAATCCAGAACTTTAGGATCCAAGAAGTCCTCCAACGATGTGTCTCGACCATTCACATAGTAACTAGCACACGCGGCGACACGTGTGTGGTGTGTTGTGTAATTTTATGTGCCGAGTCACATCATGTGTCATGTCACAGGACAGGTGATGCATCATCTTGTAATAAATGTAACGTCTCCCATTATGGGTCATTGTAGATGTCATGTGACATTAACTCATCATGTGACCTGTTGTGTCATGGGCAGCACGTTTTACAAGCCATTCTAACATTTCGTGTAATATGTAACAGGTGGAGTAACATGTCATTCGTCACATGGTGTGTCATGTGATGTGACATGTCACACAGACTCACTGGTGCCATGTGCAGGCGTCGATGGCGTCGGCCCCGCTGTGCAGGAACCTGCGATGAGACAAAGGAGTCACGACGAGTCAAGTCGATCGAATCGATTCACCAAAGTTTGGAATTGTTCTGACCCGTCTAGCAAGTCCACTGTACGTCCTCTGGGCTGGCCGACGTCAGGCCCGTAGAGGCGAGCGGAGCGGTGCCACGGCGACTGTGACATAATTTCCCGCAGACGAGTAAAGTCCCGACCCAGCTGGTCACCGTTCACGCGAAACCCCGCCTTCTTCTCAAAGCTGTTTGGTTCTTAAGGTCACACGTGAGTTCACAAGGTCACGGGCTTTTCATTAGCTTCCTGTGCTAAGATAAGCCAAGCTATCTGGCTGCTGTATCAGGTAGCAAGAGGAACAGGAAGTGAAAAGTGATGTCAGGAAGTTATTAGCAGCAACAGGAAGGGATGAGCTGGAAGCAATGAGTGGCGATGACAGGAATTATACCGTTGCCAAGCTCCCATGAGAGTCGATAGCGCCGTTCCTCGCAGTAGCGCAGTAGAGCTTGCGCGTTGCTGCTGTTCCAGCTGTTGTCGTCGTTCCTGAGCAATGCATTGAGTCCGAAGATGAGATCCAAGCCGGATACATTGGCGAAGGTGTAAAGCTCGTCCAGCGTGCTCTCTGGCCAGCACAAACGACAACAACAACATGAAGTGATGTGCCTGGTCACACAAGAAGTAGCCCGCCACCGATGCTACCTGTGAACTTGACCTGCCGGTACTTCCTGCTGGCGTCTTCTTCGGTGAGCCGCTGTTTCTGTTTGCGCCACAGCGCCAGCAGATGCTCCTCCCACCAACCCGAAAGAGGTTTGGGCTGTGACTCTGTAACGCAGTTAGCATAGCATGCTAGCAATAACATCAGCAAATACCTTCTGTACATTTTCTAAACTAAGCTAACATGCATAATATTTTAAATTTTCATGATAAGGAAAACAACTGTTCCTATGTTAGCATAGATGTTAACCTCTTCCAACTAAACCCCGTCGCTTTGACAGATGCCTTCTGACTGAATAATTTGATTGTGACTGAACCCACTCGGGCCTCTGGATTTGCCCTGGGGCTGGAACTGCATGAAGTCCTGCCGGGTTCCTCCGAAGCGGACGAACGCCGGAGATAACGCCTTGGCCAAGACACGTACTTTGGGAGAGCTGGGGCAAAAACACTCAATTACTTTCTACATTCACAGCAACACGCGCGAAGTAACATGAACATGAATCAATCTTCGCCAGAGGTCAGCAACCGCTACAATACAATCACTAACGGAGAGAAACTAATGCACACTACCCATCACACACACACACACACACACACACACACACACACACACACACACACACACACACACACTCATCAGTCAAAACAGTAATAAACATCAAAACTAAGAACTATTAGTGTAACAAGTGTTACCAATTGGCTTATACAAAATGATTTTTAAAACTCTGCGCACAAAAATCCACAATAGATGCCAATAAATAATAATTGATGATCAAAGGGTACATTATCAACACAACCGAGACACCCCATCAACAGAAAGCCTCGTCAATGAACGCGCAAAACACAAGACGAGCTACGATTGGTGGGCTCGAGTCACGTGGGCTACTCCGACCTGAGCATGCGCATGAATAGCGGGTCTTCAGCGAGGCTGGAGTCGATAGTGACGGACACAAAGTTTGGGTCCACTCGGTGCAACAGCCGGCCCGGTCCTTGTCCCCTCAGTCGGACGCGCGCCTCGACGGAGCTCGAAATGGCGCACAGCACACACAGCGCCCATAACGGTCGCAAATTGGCTGCCACTTCCGGCATAGTTGCTCACGTCCTGCCCGCCTGTTATCTGTGTGGTCATGTTTTTGCGCGCGTTAGCCTGACTGAGGCTCGTAGCCCCGCCCCTTGCGTCACAGAGCAAACACGATTCGGCAACTTCCAGTTTTTCATTAACGATTAACAAATAGACAAAATGAATACAGAGAAGCATAAAGAAAGAAAATACTTTTTTTCCAACAAAAATGAATAAAAACACAGAAAAGTAAGAGCTCTTTGAGGGAATATGGTCCAAATGTACTCATCGGTCTACATTTCAAAAGTGACGCCAGCAACATTTATTTATTGATTTTCTTTCATGACTTTACATTGTAGAAAAACACATATGAGTTTTTTTTGTTTTTTTTTCGCGATTGCTTCTTTGGTATCTGGTCCTGGGGAAATGTCAAGGAACACAAGGAGTGGTCATAGGAGATAAAGATTAAAGATTAAAAGATTCTCATTTGCGCACACATACACACATTAGTTTTTTTAACTGACATTTATTTTGTCATTGACATGGTTCATAAGTGTACTTGTGTTTAAAAAAAGTGAAATATAAAAATAGGACTTGTGGGTGTGCTGTTTTCTTCCAATCATAGGAAAATCTTGGTGCATTAGTGGCTACGCTAAGCTGACACGAGGACGTACTGGCTACGCTAAGCTGACTTGAAGACGTAAACATAGATGGTTGTCTTGCAACATGTAGTTCAGTCAGGCAGGTCAGGCGGCGCGGCGAGCAGATGATCCACTTCCTGTTGCAGCGCGGCCGCCTTCTCAATGAGCAACATCTGAAACGCAAACGCTGGTTACGCACGTCGTCCTCAGATGAAGGCCGAAGCACGTGCCCTGGCCACACCCACTTTGGCTGAGGCCACAATGAGGGTGGCTTGTTTCCTGCTGAGGCGCTCCACCGTCCTGACCAGCAGGGTGGCGTCGGCGTTGGCCAAGTGCGACAGTGTCGTGTATCCGGCGGCATGAAGCTGCTTGGCGCGAGCCTATCCGCACGCGTTCACCGAAACTCACACCAACAACACACCAGCGCAACAACGCACGCACACACACACACGCACGCACGCACGCACGCACACACACACACACACACACACACACACACACACACACACACACACACACACACGTGATAAAAGAGCTTTTGGCTTTTGTGGTCGTGTGCGCATGCCGAGCGTGTGATGACCTCCATGACCCCCGCCACCTCCATCAGTGGGATAAGCTCCGCCTTCACGCAGTAGCTGAGACGACGCGTCAGCGTTTCCAACAGGGAACAGTAGGGCCACAAGGTGTCCAGCTCCTACACACACACACACACACACACAGAAGCTCATGCGTGTGTGAGCTTTTAGTGTGTTTCTATGTTTTTGTGTGTGTGCGCTCGACCTGCGTGAA